TATTGTCTGCGCTTATCATATATCTCTGCTTAGAACCACAGGTATTACATAGCTGATTTTTTTTTTATTTATATGACCCTTGCTCCCCTCTCTGCCTGCATTCATGTAAGATAAAAACACTTTGAGAGTTCAATTATTGCTGAGAAAAGTAAGAAACTATTATTCTATCATCTAATTATTTTTCTGCCATCAAATTATGTACGATTTTATGTTCCTGGCAAAAGTAACAAGAAAGCAAGAAAGAGCCAGAGCGCGAGGGCCCCGCTGGCTCTCGTGAGGCCTCGCGCTCGGCGCCGCTCCGAGACCCCCAGGGCCACGAAGGAGCACGCGGAGCCACCGAGGGCTGAACTCATCAGCAAGAGGCAACCGGCAGAGCAAGGGCAACGAAAAACTTGGATTCCATCCGTTTCCAAAGAAGCCCAGATCTAGGAAATATGGTGGAGTACAGGAGGTAAGGGGAAAGGAAAAGAAGTTCAATTATATTAGTTGAAAAAGATACTACAGCTCTCTACTACAGAAAAAGATACTACAGTATCAGTAAAGATACTACAGTAAAATGTAGCCGCAGGGGTTAGAGCCTTCTGGCACAACCACTTCAGGAAAAATAGAAGGCACTTTTAGCTCCAGCCTCTGGCCAACTCCAGGTCTATCACACAAGCCTTAAAAGAGCCACAATTTTGAGCAACGCCAGGTAAAACAGATAAACCACAGAAGAACAGCCATTGCCACTAACGGCAACAACTAACTGTAAGAAGATGAGAAACCATGACAAATTCAGGTCTTCACACAAAGATTTCATCACTTTCTATTGTCTAGACAGCACACTCTACAAAATGCTTTCATCAGGTAGCCTGAACAGCCACCATCTTCCAGTAACCTGCATTTTTAAGCCTTATTTTGAAGTAAATTCTGCCATAGAGTGAGGTGCCATGAAGAACTCAGGCAGTTGTTGCTACAGCAAGTGGAGAAATCTTCTGTACAGGACCATGACTAGGCCCCAACACAGTTGCAAGCACACGGACAAGGCCTGGCACACACTTATTATGAGAAGAGAGGAAGAAAGCACATTTCCCGCGACCATGCAAACATAAAACAGCTCCTCAGTTGCTTATTGTTTAAAATAGTTTCAAAAATCCTGGCATATACAGATAAAATAACAAGATTTTTAAAAAATGTATCATAAATTCAACCGATCTCACTGGTAACAAGATTTAAAGCTTTCTTACCTGTCCGATGTTGTGTCACTCGCTACTTGGTGCTTTGCACCTGAACCATTTTTAATCGAGTCTTGTCTTGTGAGCCCTTGAGATCTGCTTTTGTCCAGCGCTTGTGTGGACGGGTCACCTGGCGGCGCTTGGTGCTGCGAAGGCTCCTGGAGTTTTGCTTTCTTCTCTTGAGGGGCCTCCTCGTTCCGCAGACCGCGAACACCGTCTTGACCACGCTGCTGTGGCGCATTTGATCCACTGTTATAGAACCAGGCTCCTGATTTTGTGAGGATTTCTTGTTGTTTTCGGCACAAATTACATACCCACATTACCTGTTCGGAGATACGGGAATGGAAAATCTGTTAGTTTGTAAACGCTGTGTTTGCAAAGTGTTGGTCAAGTGTACATCAGCTGTTCTTCCACAGGTGGAAAGAACACAATTTTTCTTCTATTAGATGAAGTTGCAAGAAATTTATCACCAGCACAATAAAAATGTCTGTACAACTTTGAAAGACAGTATTTTTAAAAATGTATAAATACAAAACATTTGTATGCTGCTTCTGTCATAATTTACAGTGCACGGGATAGATAGCAGATGTATATATTTAAAGCATCTAACTATTAGCATTTGCATATTTGAAAAGGAAGACTAAATTATAAGGATAATAAAAAGCAGAAAAAAAAGACATAAAAATCAAGTTAAAACTATCCAATTAAAACATTCTCTTACTAAGTTACAGAAAGGAACATCGGAAAAGATTCTCTGCTGCAGTGAACAATGATTTTATCATCCTCCAAAATGCCTTGCTGATTTACATCAGCCAGGCTCTGTATCTTGCATTTACCTGATGAAGCTGAATCCAGAGAGTGACTTGATTTTCAAAGCTATTGCAAATGAAAGCCATTTTAAAATAAATTAGTAATATATAGGGCAGTGAGTCTATTTCACGGCCAAGATTTATTTTTCACTGAATAATTACTATATTACAATGACTAAAGTTTCCCAGTTAAGGGATTGTGAATTTACAGTTATGAGATTTTTAATATTACACAATATGTTTGCTTGAGAGGTTTTTGTATCTGATTACCTTAGTCACCTGACAGTGAAGGAAACTGCCAATGCCAATTATTTCTAAAATTAAATTTACATTCAGTTCTTTCATTGTGTGACAAGAAATCAAGATGTAATGAAAAGAATGTAATAGGCCAGTTACTGATACAGAAGCACATTTGAATTACTTTGTTATCTTAAAATTTTGATTGTATATAGCATTGATTCACTTCTGATCCTTTGTCCCTTTTCATTTGTCTTTAGCCTTTTGGCTATTTTGGGTTTTTTTAATGTTTTTCCCTTACTTTGGAGACAAAATTATACGATTTTTTATATTATATTTATATATTTTTAATATTCTATACACGATCCTTGACGGCCTACACTCAGCCTTCCGCTCAGCCTCCGGTTCTAGTCAGTGCGGGATATGCGCTGCTTCCTTGGCTCGCATCACAGTACAACCAAGGCTTAGTTAATGTTCTTCATTATTCCTTTAAAGCAGCCAGTAAGTTAGCTGAATCACCTTGAAAACACCGGTTCTTTCTCTCCATAAACATACACCAGAAGGGGTTTGAGAAGCTTTAGGCTGCACCTTATTTGTGCTCTTCAGGAAGTTATCTAACAGCACACTTGGGCCATGCCTCCTAGACACGTCTCACCAAAAATGTTTTGATGAAGGTTTCCTGTAGAAGGCTGCTTAGGTAGAGAGTTCTCACTCCAACTGAACTCATCGATTTCCTCATTCACAGACTGCCAGGCTGGGGGCAGGAAAAGCAGGTGCTACTCGCTCATTTAATCATGGCACTACGCCAGCCTGGTAAATTTCCCTCCAAAAAACTTCTTATAGCACTGATATTCCACCTCTGAGAACTCCTGTCATCTTATTTCAACACAGAGGACAAGCGTTGGCACAGGTATAAAAGGGGGACTCCCTAAGCAGGTGTCTGAAGCAGGTTAGACCTCCAGAATGAAGGTCAGTCCCACACACGCTTCAGGCCTGGCCAATACCCAAGGGATGTTGAACGGGTCTGTTTTACCTTCTCTAATTAAGCTCAGAAGTCGACAGAAGCTCCAAGTTTAAAGTACAGCAAAGGCAAAAAATATGTTTGCCTTCTCTAACTGATAATGATAAAAGCCTTTAATATTTCCAATTGCTTAGTGCACAGCTGAAAATATACATCAGTGTAATCAGAGAACCAGGTCTGAAAGAACTTTTCAAGCACACAAATGCTTAAGAATTTGATTGACTGCAGTTCAAATCCCCCAACGCCTCTGCATTTCTCCTTCCTTCCTTCCTTTCCTCCTGTGTTTTTTTTTTTTTGCTCCATAGTAGGAGATGATAGAACATCACAAAAACTGGGTATCACAGGCATCACAACTGAGCAAGCTTGTCCTTGGCTCTCCGCCACGTTCTGTCCCAGAACACTGCAATCCACGATGACCACTATTATCCTCTTGTACCCAACAAAACGATTCTCCTTCCGATAGGAGATATTAAATTACCTCCTCTGAAAACAGAGGGCTCCTGATCTAACCTCTTTCCCACCAAACACACAATATAGTGATCTACTTCAATATAAACCTCTGCTCCTAACAGGCTCGATAGCTGAAACAGTGCCTCAAAACACAGCAATGCCACTGTAAGTGCCTAAGACCCCCTCTTACGAGAGGGAAACAGGTAAGCTTCTTATCACAGAAGTCCTCAACCCCTGTCTCCATTCCAAAATGTCAACCTCTGTGTCTATTTAAAGTTGTGGTCCCTATCTTACTTGCAAATACCCACTACATGATCATATGGCATTTTGTTTCCGTCTCCCAAGTCTAGAGTCTGTTTTTCCATTGCTAATGACACTTTACAGAAGACATGGTATCGCATCCCTGGTCCTGCTGATGTCTAGCTAGTTCCAAACATATTGTGCAATGTTTCTTACAGACTACTGAAGTAACTGGGTCAGACCTATAGGAAACTACAAATGCTTTACCAGAAAACACATCAAGAAACATGAAGGAAAAAATGTAAAAAAAAAAAAAAAAAAAAAAAAAAAGGAGGGGGGAAGAAGAGGAAGAAAAAAATCTAACCTGGGATGTCCCACAATGGAATAAGAAATTCATTTGAATGAATTCTCATATTCATGAGAACATGAAGACTACATATATGTGTCTGTATTTTGCAGATTGTACTGCAATGTGTGCAATGTATTTCCAACATCCAGACTTCCCTGGCATTGACCTAAGGATTTACAATTTTTGCCGAAAGCAATCGCAAGGCTCATACAGAAGAGTCACTGTTGCAAACGGAGAGAAATATAGAGGCTTTTAACATACGAAGAACAGGAAGAACTAACATGAAGAAGTGACTTCATCTTAGCATCCTTGGGCTTGTCCTGTCAGTTGAAGAACACCAGCAATTTCCAGCGTAGATCTCGGCAATTTGTGACGGACACACGAGCGAGTGTGGCACAGGGACAAGGGCAGACTCCTTACCCTTCTAAAGGAATAATTTTAAAAGGCCTGATCCCTTATGGAAGATATTTACCCTCTCAAATCATCACACTGACTACTACCCCTGATTTAAAACTCCCAAGGATGGAGCAGAAGGGCCCCGTAACACTCTCGTGTCAAACACGTGCCCAGGAACGTTTCCTGAACACAAACACCCACATGGCAACTTGTGGCTGTTGGTTCGGCTCCGAACGGGAACGCTGCCATTCCCAAAGACGAAGTGGACAAAGGCTGCTCTCCCACATCCCAAATAACTATTTTTAAGCTGGAGTGTAAGCGCTAGTGATGCTGGACCAACGGCTCCGCAGGCCAATACAAAAGTCTGAAACACCATCTAGTGCCTAGCATGAGAATTGCTGCAGTTCCTGTAAAATGTGTTTTCTGAGTGATCTGTCAGCATGACCTGACAAAAGGCCTCTTGCCGGGCATTTTAACATTAACTCTGAATTTCATTTGTCTTTCTGGTACAGTTTTTTCAGACACACTTTCTCTTTACAAAAGGTGTGCTAAATCAGGCTCAGACAAATTTTCAAACCTTCAATCCATTTCTGTTTCCCTAAGATTGATTCTACACCTGGCAAAAACAAGTTCCAAATTTTGAGGGATTTCTTCACCAGTCTTTTGCACCAATGCTATTAAATGCTCTAACATCTACCAGCATCTCCTAAACACTTGATCGCTTAATATCAAAACTTTTTACTTATTACATAAGCCTATAAAAAGCAAAGTCTGCAAAACCAGAAATATCCATTTAACCAGCTATTGCACATCTGCAGCTCTCTCTAACATACTTAATGCAAGAACCATTACTCCTTTCATTGTCACAAAGGCATTCCACCCACTTCTTTTCAGTTGGTGGAAATTCGTCATACCACCGTCACGCACCACTTTAAATCCATTAATATTGGAGAAGATATTTACAAAAACAAAGATATTTACAAAGAAAGAACATTTGCAGATATTATAAAGCTAAAATGTGCATAATTTAATAAAGTGGCTATAATATGGCAATCAATATATTTAGAAAAACTATGTGAATAGATGGCTACCTTACCAAATACCACTCACTATTCCCTTAAGCATTATTGAAGTACATTTGGCCCAGCATTAAGTTCTGAGAACAAAATGGAAGTCTTACTGCATTTAAGATTAAAAGACACAGCATATTTGACTACACAGCAGATAATAGTCTCAATTTGATAGTTTAGACACTATAATCTAAGAAATGATGACAGCAAATTATTAATAGCCTCCAGAACAGTATTTTGAAATCTATGGAGATGCGAGGTACAAAATTGAACTGAAAGTGTAATAGGGTTTCTAGAGAAGAATAAGTTTTATAATTATTATATTACTGTATCTCTTAGCGCTAAGCTGCTTGCTGGGTGAGTGTTATATTATCTGCTATGCTTGTTGTTACTGTTCTCCTTTGGTTTTTCAGAAAAAAATCATTTGGTGCACAGGTACATGTTATTTTAATTTTTTATACATGTTATTTTGTTTGTCCTCATATTTTGGGTAAGATGAATCCCTCGGACATTCTACAAGTTAACAGCAACACTGCATTCCAAAGAACTGGGAGAACCAAGGAAAAGGTAAGAAAAGTCTCCCCTCTTTCTTTGAATTCAACATCAACTTTACTAAATATTTTTATTGAAGTTTTTCTTCAGTGTGTTTTTCTTTCTTATTTTTCTTTCTTTCCTTCTTTAAAGCAGATGCAAATGCAAACCAATGTGATCCCATCATGGAGCAGTGCAGTGTCTGAAGCCACCATTTACC